AATTGTATTTATTCTTATTTTATTTCTTTTGATACTCACGAAATGGTGGGCAATGTATTTTAATTTTTGTAACTAAACTGTAATAGTTTGAGACATATTTTTTATCTATTATTTTCTATAAAAAGTTTTGTTGCAAACAACTTAACTAAACTGAGGCAGAATGGTCATTTATTTAACTACAACTCCCAGTAAGTTGTTTTGAATAAACCGTGGTCTGAATAAGCTGCCTCAAACAACAAGTTAGCTTATTCTGATAATCTGCGGATTATCAGATTATCAGAATAATCTACTTATCAGCAGATTATAAATAATCAACAGCTGCCCCAAACGTACCCTTAGATGCGCCCCCACAATTTTTATATTTTTGCATGCATGTTTATATGCATATCACTCTAATTTTTGGCAGTGTGTGCGTCCATAAACTATGTTATTATTATTATTATTATTATTATTATTATTATTATTATTATTATTATTATTATTATTATTATTTTAGAAGTGAATTTCTTATTTTCATTGATAAATTTATGACAATATGAGTACATCTAAAATAAGTTTTTTTAAGGAATGAAAAAGCTCAAATACTTAATGCAATTAATGAGCTAAGCTCACAAATATTGTACAATGTTATAATGTTTATTAATGCATAAAATAACCTCACGAAAGCCTCTGAAACTCCTTAACCTTCTTGTAAGTTCATCGAACCAGATTTGCTAAGTTTAAATCCCCAAGCGAGTTCCTCAAACCAAGCTTGCTTGTCTTTCCCAAGTTCTTATTCTAATTTTGTTTGTATTAATTCAATTATCCTACCAAGTTTGGTGATAGCTAACTGGATGCAACACCGAGCTCGATGAACAAATTTTCATGGTTGAAGGAAGAGATATTCAGCCGATCGTCAATCACATATCCATTTATTGATCGTCTGACTTCCATGCCAAAGTTGTTATGAATAGCAAGTGTGTACAAGATTCATACAGTATGGTATATGATGTAACATTTTATTTGTTCTTTTGACCCATGCACAACTACATGGGCTCTATGTGCGTAAATAGGAGGCAAAAGATAAATTAGAAAATGGGTGAATGCTAATGCTAGATCTCTCTCTCTCTATCTCTATCTATATAACTCTCTAAAAAAGTCCCTTAATCTCTCTCTAAGAAGTCCCTGGCTTCTGAAAAAACTCTCTTCATATAAATCAATGAGAACTTACTTGATTGCTAGTGGTCCTCCGTCAATCATTGTAAGTTAGCAAACAGTTTGATGATTCTCTCGATGTTGCTTGTGGGCTTCTTGTCCTGACATTATTGATGTGGTGGATCTAGTTTTGAATGAATTGGCATGAATACTCGTATCAGGTCAACCTTTTCAACTCCTATTAGAGTTGAAAACATTCTTCAGTATCATGACCATAATTTTGATGGAAGTCACAATACTGCTACTGATTTCCTGCATTTGACTTCAGTAAAGGTGGCCGCTTAAGAGTTTCATTATCAGGAATCATCACCATGATGTTAGCACGTGACATATTAAGTGATGTATACTCTTTCTCTGGTTGTGGTTCATGTCTTTGCAGTTGAGGGGTAACCCTGCGGCTCAAACTTTTTTTTGTTGAGATGCTTGAGCAGTATGTACATGATTCTTATTACACTTTATTGATTGGGTCAAAAGAAATTTTATGAGTATTAATAGCTTCGTCGACAACAATTTGTACCTCAATATGATGAATGATATCTGCGTAACAATGATCGTTTCCCACATTAAAGATGAGTGGAAAGGACTAAAGCATAGTCCCCCAAAAAATGCATGTCTGAGTAACTTGGGATCTACTTCTGTAGTTTAATGATCTTTAATAGAAAATCTAAAGAAATAATCCTTCTATGCTTCTCCCCAAATTTGATGGATCCTAGAAAGGTGAGAGAAGCCTTTAAGGAACATTTGATTTGCAATGAATTTCTTTGCAAATACTTTAGTGAGCTCATTGAATGCATGAATGCTTCCTCATGGGAGTGAATGAAACAAAGTGCATGCTTAGCCTCTAAAAGTTGCCAGAAAAAAAATTGACATAAGAGCTCATTATGTGTGCATGATGGTTCTAAAGTGATCAACAAGTTCATGTGGGACATAAGTTATCATAAGCAACAATTCACAAAAGTTTAAACTTTTATTGCAATAGGGTGTTGAAGAACTATCTCCGCTGACATTGAAGGTTCTTGAGAACCTCCTCGAGTTGAGAAATGAGTTTTATTCCTCAGGGGGGGAACTCTTCTTGAACTGGATGTTGTAGCTCATCACATATTGCATGAATTTGAGCTACATTCTCCGTACACATTGAAGCTTGTTGTTAGGCTTGACTGTAGTGGGTGATTGTGGAGAGCTAGCAATGTCCATGAGTTTAGCTTCCCGATGAGGAACTCAAGCGTGCGAAGGGGGTACTGATTGTGTACCTTTAACCAATTGATTTTAAGATAGATTCACCTCCCATTATGCATAGTTGTTGTTGGTTGTTGAAGCTCCTATAAAAGTCAGGGGATTTCATTATGAGATTCCTCCATTCTTCACACATTATCTTCGGTTGATGCAGGGCATATTCTCTCACTGATAATATGATGTGTATCATTGGGAAACAAATCAAAGGATTGATGTTCCGCACTTCGATACTATATCCGAAAAGTGATGGGTGTTAGAATGTGAAGCTCACATATTGCATTTGTTGGCAATCAAATAAAAGCAGACTTCTATCACCGAGAATTCATTTCTTACATACGACATCAAACTGTGCGTGCAAGAAAATTCACGGTGATTGAGTGATAATTTAACATTTCACGGCTGTACGAAAATCCAATATATTCATGGATGATTAAAAAGTAACAGGAAAATACATCATGATTTTCTACGCAGAAAACCCCATAATGAGAAAAAAACTATGAGGCTTAGCCCATACAAAACAATCCATTATAAATGTGTAATTATATAAATACAACAATATCAAATAATTGGGAAGAAAATGATATAAAGCTACACAAAATACAACACTTGTTCGTACACGATGTATAGAACATTTCAACATTACAAAAAAAATCATTGTATTTTGAGTGTGCCTATTGATAGTATTCACCGCTAAAAGTTATCATTGGATTTTCAATACATCGTTATTCGCTACTATGTGTGTAGTATACTTCGTAACATTGTATTTCAGATATTTCATCGTAGTGCATTCGTGGATACATTCTTATGCAACAAAATTCACCAATGGTAATGAGCAGGGGTGACGGGCGGTGGTCGATAATAGCCAGTGCAGTGTTTGATGGCGGTTGATGGCTACGGGGTCCCAATGTTATTGCCAGAAATTTAGTTCATAATAGCACTGAAATTTTACTCCTTATTCCCCTCTCACGTGAAGAGAGGGGGTCTACTTATAACTTATGCGATGTGGAAATTTTAATATTTTGATGAATAACTCATATAATCACCTAATCGAATGGTCCACACTGATCTCAAAATCTAACGAGCTTAGGTTCATTGGATTTCTTTATTGATATCCTAGAATTGATTATAATGATGTCAAAGTTAGAGGTTGTTTAATCATCCAACTAATGTTTGAAGCCTCCAAATATAGTTTAATGGCCATATGAATTTGATTGGACCGAAATCGAACAAATTTTGGTATCACTAGGTTTCGTCTTATCAAAACAAACAAATTGACCATAAACTTGTTGAAATAGGGACTTGAATGATCTTGAATTTCAATTTTAAATGTTTATTATTAAAAACGTTCACAAAATTAAATGCTTGTATGAAATGGTATCACTAGGTTTCGTCTTATCAAAACAAACAATTTGACCACAAACTTGTTGAAATAGGGTCTTGAATGATCTTGAATTTCAATTTTAAACGTTTATTATTAAAAAAACGTTCACAAAATTAAATGCTTGTATGAATTTTTTATATAAAATCAACATTTCTATCTGTAATTAATTTTTCATATAAAAGTTATAAGCAAGTTCAAAATTTGAATGAACACTTGATTTTTTATATAAATTATAAATGAATAATTTTATAAACCCAAATAGATAATTAAAATCAACATCTAATTAGATTATACAAAATAAATAAAATAATATATAAATTGTAAGTAAATTTTTTTTACTAAAATAACATAAATAAGTGCAAACAAATTGGTTTATTAAAATAAAAAATACATTAAATTCATGTGCTTATTATATTAAATAATATTATGTTATTATTAAATATTTTAATAAATAAAGTCTAATTAATCAAATTTTATTTAAATAAAACATTCTGTAAGTATTGACTATTGAGCATTTTATAGTTCCTCTTTGAACAACAAACAAATTTATCTGTGAATATTAATCAACGAGTATTAATATTCATTATAGAATTTATTTAAATAATATGAACAAATATATTACTATTTATAAATTTTATTTAAATAAAACATTCTGTAAGTATTGAGCATTTTATAGTTCCTCTTTGAACGACAAACAATTTTATCTGTGAATATTAATCATCGAGTATTAATATTCATTATAGAATTTATTTAAATAATATGAACAAATATATTACTATTTATAAATTTTATTTAAATAAAACATTCTGTAAGTTTCTAGAAAATAAATAGATTTATTTATTATTAATATGAACAAATATAATCGGGTATTAATCACTTACACTTCGTGTTGTTCATCAAATAATCGAGAATTAATCAATTACATTTTGTGTTGTTCATCAAGTGCATCATATATAAGTATTTATAATCATATTTATATACAAACACGCTAAATATTAATATCACATAAAAATATTATTATTACTAATATTAAAAAAAAAGAAATTTATATTTTAGTGCATAAATTTATGGCAACAGGGTCAAAAATATAAATATCGAATTTTAAATATTAGATATGTAAATACATATTATGTGAAATGCAAGCAAATTTCCATTATATAAGTAGGATGGTAGATTTATTCCGACCCGCTAAGAGGGCAACCCGCAGAAAGCCGCTGTCATTTCGCTGCGCTCGTGCTCCTTCAGCTAGGGTTTCCATTTCCTCTCTCCGCCGCCAGTATGAGGTATGCTGTCCTGAAATGGATAATTGCTCCCGAAGATGGTCTATCTTTATTATCAATGTTCAACGCCTTCTGACTTCACGCTTGCCGCTTCTGAAATGTACCGATTTCAGCCGGGGATTTATGTTTTGTGTTATTAGGGTTTAATCGTTTTCTACGTTTCTGTTTTCTTTTGGTTTTATCAGCGAACTTTTTGGATTGAGATGGACTTTCATGTTGAACTTGAAATTTCACGTTCTTTAGTCTTTTCGTTATTTTTCATAAAGCGTTCCTCGGTGCAGGGGAAAGTATAGAGCAATCATTTATGGGGTTGGGGTTGCTGAGGAGACGAGGATGATGATCTCCACTATGAAACGAGTGATTAATAGAGCTTTAGTGCTAGTAGACATCTCATCGTTCATGCTACCTTTTGTGTCTATCCGGATAGAGGAAGCCATGTGAGGTACTTATAATTATTTGGGCTTTGGAGGAGTGTTTGAAGTTAATAAGGTTGAGGAGATTTCTGAGAAGGACGGAAAATCGGGGAATTGAAGATAACGCTGGGGCATGAATTTTCTTGTTCTAGAACTGCATTTTTGGCTGAATCAACTTTCATTTGACATAATCTCTAAAACAAGTGTTTTTGAAACAATTTAACATTATAACCTAAGTGATTGCGTGGAATAATGTTGCTAGCTGACTTTATTTATGAAATTATCGGGTTTAATACTTTAGTTTTACTGCTAAATCTTGTTGTTTTTTGTTTGCAATTGTAGTGACTTGCAGAAGTCTCAACTTTTTTTGTCAACTTGATATATGATAAATCTTAATTTGGTATTGTGAACACTTCTTTTGTTCAGAGATGATATCCATCAGATTTATGGATGATTTACATACATACCACTCAATTCTTATGTATTTACCAAACTAATATCTAAATTACAATTTTTATGTAGGCTCCAACTTATCTATGCATAAAAAGGTGTATTTAACTTTGTAGGGTGGCATGAATGTAAAAAGTAAATTTATGTATTAGATATGTAAATACATAAGCCGTGGATAGTATGTATGTAAATGCCCCTAGATCTATTATATTTGACTATATATCTGATGAAAGAGACATGCAATGATAGATATTGATGAATTTTTTTTCTTTGCCATGCACGAAGTTCTGACTGTATACTTGTGGGGATATTTTCAAGGGAATGCTTTCCCATAGTATTCCAAAGTATATTTAGAAGTGTTGAGTAGGATTGCTTGCTATGTCTTCTGTTTGTAAAAAGCTGAACATCAACCTATATACCCTTTAATAAAAATGCATTTATTTATTTATTTTTAGATGAAAAGAGGGGTTTCCTTAGTTTGTTGATGTGATATTTCTTTTTGCAGATTTTCTCTTACGTAGTTCTCTTCATCCCTTTATTTAATGTAGTTTGTCTTTTTTTCTCATGCAAACCATCTCTCTGTGCTTTGTTCTAACCAGAGAGTTGTATGTCTAGCTTTTACTTTTGACTCAAAACCTGTTTTTTTTTGCTTTTAGATTAATGAAGCAAAATTGCTAGCTTTTTCACATGTTAAATTTTAAACCAAGCATTATTAAGGTATTTCTCATTCTTTTCACATGGTAATCCTCTTTCGTTTTCTCTTCTCATATTAATTGAATTAGTGATATTTAGATTTGTAAGTCATGGACTGGAAGCATCATAGTGGTATTTTATGCATTTTGAGCATGTTGTGGATGTAACTTACTAAGATTCTCAATGAGGTGAATTTTCTACTTATACTATAGACCTTGTGTAGGTTATTTCTCTGTGGTTTAGTACATGGATACTTCTAAGACACATGTGAAGTTCTGTTTTTCACCAATTCACATTATCTCTTTCTTTTACCATGCATATGAATCCAATTAGTGGTTATTAATTATTTTAAGTAACATGGAATGGATTCATTATTGGGGAACTGTATGCATGTTATATATGTTGTTGGGGTGTCTTATTTAGGATGCATAAATTGCTAAATTTTATACTTTTAATAAGTATATTGATAGGCGCATGTATACCTCTCATCTGCAATGATTCAAAATTGAGATGAAAGATATTGGCATTTATTCTCTCATTCTGAATGCCAATAATATGAACTTTAAAATATTGATTAACCTTTCATTAATCATGGATGGAGAGATTCAAAAATATTTATTGAAATCTTGATTAAATTTGCTGTGGAAAATTGAAATGGTAAGCTAGAGTTTTGGCAAATTAGGTTAAGAAATAGAGTTTGTGATCCCCATTTAGACTAATTTTACTTTACTATGATGAGAATTAAGATAAACATTAGATCTACCTCGGATAAAGCTTGGTCGCACTTTGATCAACTTGCTCTTTTATAGATTTGTCTAGTAAAGAGAGAAGCCAAGGAGAGAGATAGTAGCCTAAATGAATCTTCGACTCGCAGCAACCCATAGATTTAGGTAACCATCACTGTGATCTTCAATGAGTTCTCTCGTTTTTTTTATTTTGAAATCCTTAAATTTCTTCTAGATTTAAGCTCAAGGATATGTCTTTTATTATATTTGGGAGTTAGTTATATCGAATCTAGAGAAGTTTGTTTTATATTTTGAATTTTAATGCTATATTTTATTCTCTCACTAATTTTTTTTGCCAGAAATTTGAATCACGTTTTGGTAAAAAAATCTATCAAGAAATGGTGAGAATTTGTTGAATATTTTATTTTAACTGTTATGAAGTGTTTTTATAATCCTGGAAGAGCTTCCAATAAGTAACATACAAAATAGTGGAATAATAATTACAACAAATTTATAAAATCCATCAATGGATGAGTAGAAAGATAATAATTATAATAGGCCATTGATTGATAGGTGTCACTAACAATCTCAAGAATCTTTGAGGTGGCATGAAGTGAAAAAAGAAAGTGGTGGACTTCTAAGCCAAGTATGATATGGATGTAGGCGAAATCAATGGAAGCAAAAATTGATGGAGATTGATTTTTTCATTTCTCTTAGGTGAATGAATGGTCATAGTTTATTCCAAATTTGTTTGCCAACTTTTAAAATATTATTTCTAATGATCCTTTGGTGACAATATCTGTAAGTTACTATATGTGGCAACAAACACAATATAAATTATACCACTTTCTAGCTTCTCCTTTATAAAACGTATGTCATTTCAATTTATTTTGCTTGGTCAGTTGTGAAGTGTTTATATAATCCTAGAAGAGCCTCCAATAAGAAACATGTAAAATCATGGAATAATAATTACAAAATATTTATAATAGCCATCAGTTGATGAGTAGAAAGAATAATAATTACATAATAACTATAATAGTTGATTGATGAGGTGTCACTAACAATCTCAAGATTCATTGAGTTGGCATTAAGTGAAAAAGAAAGTGGAGGACTTCTAAGCCAAGTATGACACTGATGTAGGCGAAATCAACAGAGACAAAGAGATTGGTTTTTCATTTCTCTTTTAAGTGAATGAATGGTCATTGTTTATTCTAAGTTTGTTTGCTAACTTTTAAAATATTTTTTCGAATGTTCTTTTGGTGAGAATATCTGTTAGTTACTATATGTGCACTGAATGCAGTAAAAATTAGACCACTTTCTAGCTTCTTCTTTATTAAAGGTACATTATTTCAATATATTTTACACGATCGGTTGTGAAGTATTTATATAATCCTAGAAGAGCCTTCAATAAGAAACAAACAAAATCATGGAATAATAATTACAAAATATTTATTATAGCCACAGTTGATGAGTAGAAAGAATAATAATTACATAATAACTATAAGAGGTCATCGATTGATTTGGTGTTACTAACAATTTCAAGAATTATTGAGTTGGCATGAAGTGAAAAAAGAAAGCGGAGGACTTCTAAGCCAAGTATGACACTGACATAGTCGAAGGAGGCAAAATTGATGGAGCTTGATTTTTTCATTTCTCTTAGGTGAATGAATGGTCATTGTTTATTCTAAGTTCGTTTGCCAAATTTTTAAAATATTATTTCGGATGATCACTTGGTGAGAATATCTGTTAGTTACTATATGTGGCAACAAACGTAGTACAAATTAGACCACTTTCTAGCTTCTTTTTTATAACATTTATGCCCTTTTCAATATATTTTTCATCGTCAAGTTGCACTGAATTAAGTACTATTAATTGTTGATGTGTTGCCATGATGCATCCTTATAGGACATTTTCATTAAACTTTTAAATCTTCTAGGATAATTTTTATTCATAACATTTTACAATATCTTAGTGCCGTTGATTTAAATTTTGCTACTATGCTAGATTTTGCCAATATATTTTATTTCTACTTCTCATAGAGCTGAATTGTCGGTTTAAGAATGCGCAATATTTATAAATTGACCTGTTATTAACCATGTATTCTACATAATTGGTATTGATATAAGCATCAACTGTCAGATTATATTCCCTTTTAACTGAAGCTTATTTATAAGGAGTCACTTTCATATATTTTAAAATTTTATGTACAATCTTAAAGTGTGATTCTTTGTAATTGTCTGTGACTTTTGACTTATCATAGCAACAATATTGGTAAGTTAAGTCTAACATGTGATAATATGATAATTTTTTCTGTCGAGTGGTTTTTGTGGATTGTCTTCTGGATCATCTTTTAGTTCGCACTTAAATTCATAGGGCTCTCGATAGGCTTGTAATATAACTAGCTTGTTTCTTTTAATAAGGTGTTATGTAATTTTGTTGTGATATAAAGATTCATGTTGAGAGCGTGCAATCTCAATTCAATGTGCTTTAGCTTGCCAAGTCTTATGGAAGCCTCTTTTTAAAGTTGTCATACTTTCAAAGTCATTGCTTTTTACGATGATGTCCTCAACATAAACTAATAGTGTTAGGATTCCTTTGAAGATTAAACAATGTATGGTTGCCTTAACATAGGGTTTATTTGGGGTGGCTGCAACTTTTAAGAAGATGGTTGTAAAGCTGTGGTGTAGAAAATAATTTTTTTACAAAACTGTGATGAGAATTATAAATATATATTCTTTCTAAAAAATCAGACAACAGTTTTCTTACAGTTATCACACTTTCACACTTAGGTTGAAAAAATAGTTCTTCACTATATAAATTTTTAGAAAGCTACAAGAAAGCAACTTCCAAAGAAAGCTGCGACGATGATCTGAAAAACAAAGTAGATAAAAAGTTGTAACAAATAGACCATTTGTGTTTCATTTTGAGTGTTACCCTATTGAATCTGTTAAGCTATGCCCTGCAGATTGCTTCAATCTTTATAATACTTTCTTACATTGTCATTTTTTTGTGTTAGATAAATTCAAAGGTGACCTCCATATATACTTCATATATATCATTACTTAAAGAGTCATTTTCAATCAAATAATTGTATTTTTAGTTCTTGCTACCTTCTTATAATAAGATAACTCAATTGATGTTATTTTTAGTAAAATGAGTGAAAGTTTCAAGATAATCAATTATATATTTGTTTTTTCCTTTTGATAATTCATAATTTTTCAGGGTTTATCATAATTTTTTAGGCTTTATTCTTTTAAAGGGCTTCCTTGTAATATTATTCTAACTTTCATTATTTAAAATTTTAGATATGGTTTTAGCGATATAAATAGTGTGGTGGCTAGTCAAGATGGATTGGTGACGAATAATTTTGTATAATAAGAACGTGTAACTGAAGTTTATTTCCTTGTGGGTTCCAAAGTTTCACTTTGTTCCGTATGAAGGATTGATTATGTTGATTGGATTTGTGTTAATTAAAATGATTTTATCATTTATATATCAAACTAGTTGAATATCAATCGTGACCTGTTACGATTTGTTTAGGAGTTGTTGGTTTTGTAGTATAATTGTTTGTAGGTGTTAGGGGTAAGAAGGACAATCTATTGAAGAGAAATATTTCATTCATGAATTTTATTTCTTCTTTGGGATAATAAGTAGCAAATATTATAAAATTCTCTTCCTTGAAATTGCCATTAGGGGACTCATAGGGCTGTAAATGGGCCGAGCTCGGCTTGTGTTCGGCTCATTCAAAATTGTTCCTATTTGAAACCAGCTCATTTTCAAAATTGTCTTATGTTCGGGTTGTTAAAATTAATTGAAAAAAAATAGATGTGTTGTATCGAACTTGCACCAACTTTGTGCAATAGAAGACTCAAAACCATATGATCACGCAAGATGTTATGATTTAAATTTAGATATAAAAATAAATAATATATTATTATATAAATAATATATATAATTTTTTTAAAGCTAATACAAGCCTCACACAAGCGAACAAAGAGTTGTTCGTGTTCGGCTCACTTATAATTCGAGTTTAAAAAAATTTTTCGTGTTCAGCTCGCATAACGAACAAGCCGAGCACGAGCCTTTCACTTTTTTTTTTTTTTTTTTTTTTAGTGG